ATAATTTACGAAAAATATCCAGGTTCTGTTGAAATAGATTTCTTCCAAATAAGGTTTTTCCTCCTTTGTATAAAATTTGGCTGTAATAGCCATCCCTAATTCAGCTAGATTTTTCATGGAATTTTCTAACAGGCGGCTACTTCATAGCAACACGATCGAGATGGTGTCTGATTCTTCTCTTGATTCCTCCTGTGCGTCAACAGATGTGCAATCTGCCCCTACTGTTAAATTGCCTCTATGATACCTGGTATAGAATCAATAAATGAATCATCACTGTTGCCTGCCGTCTCTTTATCTGTTCTTGGTGTTGAGGTTCATGTAGATGAATTGGATTGGGTAAATGTTTTTGCCCCGCAGGAATCTGAACACTTGTCATGATTGCCCAAAATATGAAAAATAAGAGTTTCTGATATCATGACCAAGCTTTTTCAATGCAGACTTCTTATCTGGTTCCTTTGATCGCAAACGAATCGCGCATCTTACTGCACTTGTGAGTCTAACTCTAACATTTACAAACATGGTTGGCACACTCTAACCTCTGTACATCTTTACCCCAACCTACAACATTTTCCTGGATCTTGGCAAATACTGATGAGCCCCCATCAGCGATAACTTTAGTACATCTTAACCCATGGATTGTCCTGGCCTGCTGGAAACCTTTCAAAAGTATGTCCGATTCCATAGCCTGTGAGCTGTCCGACCAGTTCTTAAAGCAACTGTGTGGCCTGGCCTGTGTATGTGTTAACTCTGCGTGACTACAAATGTAGCAATGCCTGTTTCTCACACCGATGTGTAGCAGCTTACCCGTTTCTGTCCCAATGATGACATCCTTTCCACCAAATACATTATATGACTGCTTATGGGACCTTTTACTTCACCCACCATCGCACACAACAGTTATGCAAGGAACCCCTTCACGGTAGTGAGCCTTCTCCATAGAAATCCGTCTCTCTTCTGCACCTGCAGCCAACAAATCGTATTGCATTGCTAGGTACCACATGTCCCCAATCTCTGTTCTATTGTCAAAAAGGTTTGCTGGGATAATCCGAGTGAATTTAACGTAGCCAAGGTCTCATTCAGGTGAGCCACTCCACCACCTGTTACCATACTTTCCCATACCGCTCTTATATTTACGTCGTAATGGTTTGTGCGTCCATTTGAAATTCGATGGCTAGTAACCAACCTAGAGTTCTGCTTACAGCCCTGACACTCTGCCTCCAATACACTAGCAAGACCAAGCGTCTTAATTCCAGTTAAACTTTTAATGGGAGTCTGGTCTTAAGCAACAATCTGCTTCAAGTGTTCACATTTGGCAATATGCAACGTAATATTAGTCATGTGCTATTGTAAGAAATTGAGATTCATAAACCTATACCCGTCATAGGATTTTGATGACACACGGCTTATAACAAACTGAAATGGCTTATCAACTGACACTCGCTTTACACTGTAAAACTGTTTTTGTTTCAGAAAAATAACCTGTTCATACCTGCCCTTCGTTTTGTTCTAATTTTGTACCTGTTAAGAATTGAACTCCGCGCTATTTTTGTCTGTTTTCATGTTCTGATTGGTTTTGCATTTATACAAATATTTATGCTGATACACCATTTTTCTCATAGTTGAATGCTTCTCTTCTGCCATTTCAAAGTGCCTGTTCCCTTTTCCACGGTAAATGACCATTTTAAAGTTTTTTTGTGATAGTTATCGTAATAATGATACGTGAACATCCTGTTACTGTTGCCTATGGGCTGCTGTACTTGCTACGTTCTGGTCGTTATATGTTTACATATTTACATTATCCGCGTATGATAATTCTTGGTCAAATAAACATAATAATTAAACATTCCTATACTTACCTTATCTATAAAATTGGGTGGAAATGAATAATATAACATTAAACATATTTTTATACAAGTACGACATTTCTTGACGTGACGCAAATTTGTAGTGTCAATTCTTACCTGAAAATTCACCGGTCTCTGTTTAGACTGACGATCGGATCACCAGAATAGAGAATAATGTATCTTTATGCCCCAAAGCTCCTCTCTGCCTATAAAAAGGACATGATCCATTATTTCAAAGTTTTGTAAACACTCGGAGCAATTGACCGAACAACACTTCCGGTCAACAAAGGAAAACTATGCTCCAAAATATAAACCCACTTTTTACAATTTTATTCCTAGTCATGTCTCAAATTACACAAAAGTATTCTATTCGATAAATTCTAAATCTAGATTGAAAAGATTCTGGGACATTTATGCAACTTGAACAAGATATTCCTACGCGGTAAATGGAAGTGTCCATCGGCACAGAAACGTATGATGGACCTAGGAATAAAACACTCCTCTTGGCGATCTTTCTAGGCCGATCTTCCAAAATGTCATGCACAGACATAGTTATGGTGGTGGTTATTTAAAATGATACAATGATCGGATCATGTTATGTACGTAAATCATGCTTAAAATAATTTACATACTTCTTTGTGAATGTCGGCCATTTTCCCTAATTTGAAGCAATGCTGGCTCAAAATGAGGTCACATGTACTTTAAGATGTACATGTAAACAAACTCATTGCTCCTATCGTGTACTTTAGACCCGAAACTATATCGGAGTGTCATTAAGTCCGCGCATTAGTCCCAATAAAAAGAAGAAAAAATGTTCCGTGGCAAAATCCACAGAAATTTGGGTTTTCCTCCCAAAAAAATAGATTTTTGTGAAAAATTCAGGGTATATAATACTAAGTAAGTATCATGCAAATCTTATGAGGTATAATGTTAAGGTTTCTTGTGTTATTTTTTTCCATAAATATATGACAATATTACATTTTATCACTGATTTTAGGCATAAAGATTAACTATTAACATGACCCTTAATAGTCTTACAACTTTCTGTTAATGTATGGGATATGTACATAATATATATACACAAAGAGAAAACGTATAATAAAATCATATTATACAGTTTGTAACATTGTCATTTAAAAATATATTTCGGCATGTTCCTATGGAAAAAACATTCTGAACACATTCCACAACGTGGAAGTCCCTACATTAAAATTTCATGTTCTGTTTCTCACAAGGTCAATATAGGCTCTTTTCTGTATAACTGATGATTAGATACTCCATAGTTAACACACATAGTCAGGAATAAACATGCTTGATCTCATTGTATGACGCATAGGTAGGGTTAATATGGGGTTTCCTTAAGAACAATAGGCTTTTGTCTGTGTCTTAGTCTTAAGGACTGAAATTATCCTCGAGTAACCTAGTACATGTGACACCACCATATGACCATAGCAGGTACGAGTAACCCAGTACCTGTGACACCGCCATATGACCATAGCAGGTACGAGTAACCCGACACATGTGACAGCGCCATATGACCATAGCAGGTACGAGTAACCCAGTACATGTGACACCGCCATATGACCATACCAGGTACGAGTAACCCAGTACCTGTGACACCGCCATATGACCATACCAGGTACGAGGAAGCATTATCCTAAAAAAACAGCTGGATAAGTGTATTCTGGTCATTTTCGTATTTTGTGCTTAAAATATAATCGAGTATGGAAAGAGAAAATGGTTAAAAACATCATATAATACCCATCTGAAGCCTGTTAACTGAAATCCTGAATCGAAGACAAACAAACCAGGACATAGATGGCCTACTGTCAAATCTATACCAAGAGATCACTAATAGGAAGGCTCAAATATGTTTTCTTTCTCACGGGTTATTTTTTCTGTGTCTTCTGTATAGGGAATGTTAAAACTTAAAAATTGAACTGATGTCCTTATTGCATCGTTTGAGATAAAAAAAAAAAAAAAATCTGTTTTGCTCCCTTTCTCTATTCTTCTGGGCGATGTCTCCCTAAGCGCCCGTCATCATATGACCTTGACTGTTGTGAGGACGCTATTATATAGTAAACTGATTTATGGAGATGGAAAATAGGGATCCCTTAGGGAAGGATTGTTAAATATGTAATAATGGTTCACGCGTGTATACATATATATATATAAATGAATCTTGATAATGTGTATTCAAAAACATATTGAATTATGAATTCAACATGCTAATGAATCATACGCTGAAAACCCAATTTGCTATATATTTCCGATTTCAATTCAGGTGTCTGAAAAGTAAACGGGATAACGGGATATTCTACACCAGTTTAACCGCTCGTCAAAGTATCACACAAACAATGTCTTAGTATAGATATGATATATGCACATATTTACCCAGCCATATACAGAGCAGTCCCTTTATCTAAATATGTGAAGATATATGATAGCCTTTGTACAGCTGAACTATAGAGTGATTATAAGAGTATACAAACATTTCAATACGAGAAGATTCATATGAGAAGTTGTTATAGATTTGCTATCAACAGACCTCTCGTTTTCTTTGTGTTGGTATGTTCTATGCTGCGAGGAGACTTTAAAATAGTTTAGTTCTGGTCATATATGTTTGACTGTTGACGCTTCAAGAACACGTCTATACATATAGAAGGTAAGCTGCAGTGCAACTTTTCTTCTGGGCCATCATGTCGAATAACACCATTTTGTGTGTTCTTTCCCATAATAATATATAATCACAGTTTGACTAGTGGAAGTACCTATTCGGTACATTTTCTAATGTTAGTCATACTCATTGATCTATTCCGTTATATTTCATTCATTGACAACAGGAACAAGAAGGCTGTATATAAAGAACCATACTTGCATCGACGAAACACTAATTTAGCGTAAACATCAAAAGTGCCACTGGAGGACAATACTGAAGTCATATGATATAAAGGTTTCATTATCTTCTGTACCGATACGTATATTTACATGTATACAAATGGCTATAAAGGAAACATACGTAATAGTACCCTAGGTATTGTTCCTTTTGAGATATTCAATTTATATTCATCAAATTTTATTATTGACATTCGATGTATCGCCGATCGAGGTATTCACCATAGTGCTCTTTCTTTATTGCAGCGAGTACATATAATGATGATTCGAGCACACGCTGTTCAACAGGAGTTCCTCAGGTGCAATGCTTGTAGTGAGGATTACGACGAGGAGATCCACATACCAAGAGTGTTACCTTGTCTACATACCCACTGTCAAGTCTGTATCCGTAAATTGTCGACCACGAACATCATTATCTGTCCTAACTGTAGGACAAAGAATAGACTTCCAACAACAGGGGTACGTGGCTTACCTATAGACACAACGAGACGGAATCTGTGCGAGTTTATAAAATTGAGAAAGACAGATTCATGTATTACTTGCAAAGATTGTCCCGAGGATAATGAAGCTTCAGGCTTCTGTAAAGATTGTAATATATACCTATGCTTGGACTGTAAGGAGACACACAAACGGAGCATCGCGACTAGATCCCATGAAATTTTGAAAATTGAAAATATGAAAGTTTTTGCTGGTTCAGAGGTATTTCGGCGGCGTCTGAAGTGCACAAAGTCGGGTCACGAGGGCCAGCTATTGGCCTTCTACTGTTCCAAGAAGGAGTGCAGAGCGCCATTGTGTAAAGTGTGCATAGAGCGGGATCACAAAACGTCCGAAGGTCACGTGGTACAAAATATAGAAGAGGTGCAGCAACTGAAAATGACTGAATTGAAGAGGGTTTTCTGCCACCTGGGAGATATGGTCACATTTACAAGGACAATAGTTGAACAACTGGAGCAGGAAATACTGAATATTGACATCAGGGAATTTGAAATGGAAAAAGAATTAGAGTCAACGTTCACTGAATGCCAAAGGATGTTAGAAAAACGGAAAGACGATTTAAAAGCAGAAATTTCAAAAATCTGTAAAAGGCAAAGGGTCGTCTTAGTAAGCAAATCAGAAAAGATGGGAAACTTCATTGACACGGTTGGAAGTTTTCAAGGAATATATCTACACATTCTGGTCCTTCCGAATTCTTGATTCTACACAATATTCTCCTTAGACGTCTGAGACTATTGACTCGTCATCAGGTAAATCAATCAGTTGAGGTAGCAGCGCCAACTTTCGACACACAGAATGTGCTCACACAGTTTAGAACATTGACGTCTGCGTTAGGAACTATATCTACAGAGACGCGTCCAAGGAATTTGGTATTCTTCCGCAATCATACTGACCTAAGTACGACGTCAAGACCACTTTCAATGAGTAAGTAGAGCAGTAATCCGTTCATCCATGTCGGCTATTTCATATATCATTGAATTACACTCTATAATAAGGCACATACAGGTTCTTTAACGAGTAATGTAAGTTTTGTCTTGATTTTTCGATTAATGTATGTATTTTATGTGAGGAGAACGACCCGTAGACCTTTGTAAGTTTTGTTTTAGAAACCTGGTTAATTAAATAAAAAAATAACGGAAGTGATGGTCGGTTAACTCAAAATGGCTTATTCTACACGGTATCATTTCTTACATTTCAAAGGACGCGACATCCATGTTTTATTTATTTCATATTTTTCAATTATCAATGATATTGATTTTCTCTCGAAAAATCTATATTATAATGAGATTCAAGGCCTCAAAATTACAACAATGATAGCGCAAAACATGGTGATGGTGCCTTTTTGCGGTCCAAGTTCATTCCAAATTGTTACCTCTATCAAGTAGGAGTTATATGTATATCACATGCCTAAAGAGCGAGGAAAACTTCGTAAGCTATAGGAGAAATGCGTTCAATTGTCTCTCGATACAATTTGTTGGATGATCAACGTTCAAGAAAAGTAAATACAATTTCTATTGCAAAGGTACATCCTAATCGCCTTGTTAATACCTTCATGTGTCACACCGGTCAGTACAGAACGTATTCTGTACATAGTTCCACACCTAGTCAATCTAAGTAGTCGTTTTGGTTAGAGGGAGTGTGTCTAACGTGTCCTTAGAGGTATTGTGTCTAACGTGTCCTTCGAGGGATTGTGTCTAACGTGTCCTTAGAGGGATTGTGTTTAACGTGTCCTTCATTTCATCAAATGTTATTAACAAGATGTCGTAATCAATTGGATTGAATAACAGGCAAAGCCTATATAAATTCTCTCCGTCAAATGGCCAAAGTGGAATAAACAAGGAGACATAATATTTTAGACATGTTGCAAATGAAAAAATTAACACAAAATAATTCATATTAACACAAGGCTAAGGGGAAGTAACTCATGAAGGAAACATCTCGCACACACACTTACACACACATACAAGTACATGTACAAATACATTTATTTCAGCATATATATACACTATCATAGACAGATATTGGCAGGCTTAGACCAAAAGCCCATGTGCATATATTGCACAGGTCACTGCTACCAAAAACTGTTACAATTAAATATAATAAATTCATTTAATACATATAGAGTGTAATAATTTACAATGTCAAGATAAGTACACGTAATAGACAGTAGTCATGCTCATTTAGAAGCTCCTGGATGTAATATAGAATATATAGTATATTTTTGTTTAACATCATGGCTTTAAGTCATATAAAAATTAAAACGACGGGATTTTCCAATAAAAATATGCACATCATCAAGTATTCTTCTGTTTGTAAGCCCATCACAATCAGGACAGCCCTGGAGAAGAATGTTTTTATCAGTGTGATTATGGTTTCCATAACTATTAAGAGAAGTGAACAAAGTTGTTCTTTGATTATTAAAAATAGGACATTCCAAAAAGTAATGAGGTACTGTTTCATGTTCAGCAGAGCAGGTACAAGCAGGACTATTAGTAAGATGGTCATGGTGTAAATCATAATTTAAATTACTGCAAGAGTTTCGAAGTCGACATAGAATAATACTTGCTCTTCGGTTACCTTCTGTTTTGAAAATTGAAACAGATTCACTATCAGAAATAATATCTTTATTCAAATATTTTTTTAATGCTGCAGGAGAGGGAGAATTAAGAAGATCAGAATTTGCAATGTTAATTGTGCGGCACATTTGAGGGAAAAAACTGTCAAAATAGTTATTAGTTCTACATAACGGTGGGTTGAAAAGCCTAGTTTGTCTGAGAGGGTAGGGGTTATCATTTTGATTATTAATAAAGGGATTTAAAACATTTTGTAAGTATTGAGGTGTCTGCCAATGCATAATTTTGTACATCATTACATGTTTGTGTTTATTTCGTCTTACAGATAGTGTTTCCCAACCTAGTTCATTGTATAGTTTGTCATGTGATACCCCAGAACGAAGACCTGTTATTATCCTAGCTGCTTCTAATTGTACAGATTCAAGAATATCTTTTGCCTGTTGTGTACAATTATCCCAAATAATATCTGCATATTCCAAAATTGGCCTAATAAATCCCATATATATTTTAATTAATGATTTTCTATTGACTTTAGTTTTGACATGGCGAAGAATATTAAGTCTATTGTAAGCTTTTTTGTATATATTCTGTATGTGCTGTTTCCATGTTGCATCATCTTGAAGTGTAAGTCCTAAGTGTTGATGTGATGATGTGTCTATGATTTGGCTATTTTGGAAAAATAGTGGGATGTGATGGGTGTCTTGTTTTCTAGAAAATTTGAGTGATTTTGTTTTACTTGGATTGAATTTAATGTTGTTGCCCATTCACCTATGTTAGTAAGATCAGTGTTGAGAGATTGTGCGGCCTGTGTTGGGTTAATATCTATAATTACATACAGAGAAGTGTCATCAGCAAAAAGTTTGATATTGGTGGAAACATTAGTAGTGATATCATTGCTATACAGAAGAAATAATAGTGGTCCGAGGACAGATCCTTGAGGTACCCTGCATTTACATTCTTAAATTGTGAAAAGTAAACTTCAGTATTTACTCTTTGCATTCTGTTCGACAGATAATTTTCAAACCACAAAAGTAGATTTCCATTTATACCATATAATTTCAATTTAAATAAAAGACCTTCGTGCCATACTCTGTCGAAGGCTTTACTGATATCACAAAAAAACAAATCGAAGCTCCTTTCCTTTATCCATATTGCTTGCAATTTCATTATAATTAAACAAAAGCTTATTGACAGTAGAATCACCAGGTATAAAGCCAGACTGATGCTTAGTAATAATATCATTCTCAATCAAAAAGTTGTATAGATATTTAAAAATATTTTTTTCCAATATTTTACTGAAGCATGATGTAATTGAAATTGGTCGTTAATTTAACACATCATTAGAGGGCTTGTGTCTAACGTGTCTTTAGAGGGATTGTGTCTAACGTGTCCTTAGAGGGATTGTGTCTAACGTGTCCTTAGAGGGATTGTGTCTAACGTGTCCTTAGAGGGATTGTGTCTAACGTGTCCTTAGAGGGATTGTGTCTAACGTGTCCTTAGAGGGATTGTGTCTAACGTGTCCTTAGAGGGATTGTGTCTAACGTGTCCTTAGAGGGATTGTGTCTAACGTGTCCTTAGAGGGATTGTGTCTAACGTGTCCTTAGAGGGATTGTGTCTAACGTGTCCTTAGAGGGATTGTGTCTAACGTGTCCTTAGAGGGATTGTGTCTAACGTGTCCTTAGAGGGATTGTGTCTAACGTGTCCTTAGAGGGATTGTGTCTAACGTGTCCTTAGAGGGATTTTGTCTAACGTGTCCTTAGAGGGATTGTGTCTAGGTAGCAGTATACAGTAGAAATGGCCCGACTCTGATAAACAAGGCACATGTCGAGGAAATGTAAACACAGCGGATTTACCCTACACAACACATGTATACATGTATATATATTTGTAAACTGCATTACATTTACAATACATATAAAGTTCTGAGAAGTGTATAAACAAACCTCTTTTTTCTATGTATGTCACTTGTGTGAAAACCATGGTTACCACATCAAAAAATGCTAAAAAAAATGCCAAAAATTGATATTTTTGACCCAAAAATTGACCCCCGCAACTAGTAAATTTTTTTCTAAGTTTTGTCTGAAATTAAAGATCACCTACCTGGTTGCAGAATTATCTGGGTCCCAGTAAAGTTGTAAAACTTGATTTTATTCTCGAACTCATCATGCTTATACCAATTTTAGTACAGTTTTATTTTTTTAATTTTTTTTTTACATATCATTATACAGAGGTTAGCCATTTAACAAAAATATATCCTATGGCCACAACCCTCTACTGTATACTGCTACCCTAACGTGTCCTTAGAGGGATTGTGTCTAACATGTCCTAATCCTCATTTGTTAAAATTAGTCTGTTTAATGATTGCTATTTTTATAACGCAGGGTTGGATGCTGGGCACACCGATGTTCTATGTAAGTTGTTTCAAACATCAAATATGTTACCATTTCTCTACCCCACTCTGTTATTACGACGTCGTCTCCATTTCCCATCCGTATATGACCTTGACTGCGAAAACGTTAAACTCTAAACAAACAAACATCAGTTTAAGTGTAAATAATTACATAATCACATAAGAAAATGATTGGAAATAAATTTACATTGGATTTCAAGCTATCTCCAATGTCACATCATTGTTATGAAGCGAGCTACGGAGAGCTCCATAATTATCGTTAGAAATGAGAACTCGTGGTTATGTTTATCGCATGCCACTCCATATATGATGAGTAAAATCAAAAACGATGTATACATTATGTCAACGTAGTGTTATTATTATGTTACAATGGGTGTTGTACATTGTATGTGATTGTAAGTATAACACTGCATTGCTTCTAAAACATGATTTTAAATACACAAGTTTTGAACAAATTAAGGCATGTTAACAAATTGGTTTTTTTATCAGTGTGATTCATGGTTGCTTGATTCTTGTGCATTATGTTCTCAAAACATTTTTGCTGTCGATATTCTAAAGATCAACCTATCCCAAGGAACGGTTTCAAATCTTAATAAGTATAGAGTATATCACATCCGCTTGCCATTATTTGGGTACGGCAACTTTGAAATGAAAACAAACCCTAACGTCTTTAAGTTATCTATTGTTGGCTTCTTGTCCAGGTCATATCACTTCTGAACTAAGGCTTTTAAAATTTACTAATAAGTTTGGTTAAATGCATACAAGTTGTACCATGGACAAACTTGTCCCCGTGTGGTGTGATGAAATGTTACGAAGAAAGATGATGATGACTATAAATCTGTTTCAGTTCGCCTTATTCTGTTTCTGTTTACAGCCCCGGAGATTATATTGGACAGAGACACGGTCCACAAATACCGTGCTGTCAGTGACTGCGGTCGAAAACTTCACAGCAAGCCAACATCTAAGACAAAGCCTGGACAACCATTGTACCGTAGGAAACAGCTGCAAACCTACCGAGGTGTTGTAGGAAATCGGTCGTTTCATCAGCCGGGCAGATTCTATTTCGAGGTAGTTATTGACATCGATATCCTGAAGGACTTGGATAACTCCAACTTCGTGTTTGAGGTAGGCCTTTGTAGCTTAGAGGAAGTAGATCGGGTCACTACCTATATGAACAAGACCACGCCTGGTCACTTTGTGGGCAGCATTGTGAACGGCATGACATGGTGTGTCGGTACCTTCGCCACAGAGGGCGCAACCTTATGCACAGAGAACTCACTTTCAGGACAGCAGGGACTCGGTTATGTGAAGGGTACGGATTCCTGCTTGACACGGAGTTGAGCAGGTTGACCGTGTACGACTGCCTGACACATACCAAGATCTTCACATTCGATGACGTCGGTCCTAGTCTGGAACTGTGGCCCGTATTTGGTTGTCACTGGCCAAGTAAGGTTAATGTCACTATAACGGTCAGGAGTGGACGTGACATTACTCTGCCCGATGTTCTTGCTACACGCTCACTCTCAATGGTAACGTAAGATGGCAAAATTATGCAATAACACATGGTTCAGTAAATATGTTCAACTTTGTTCGGCTTTTTGCATCCACAATCTAGACTTTGTAAATTTATGTTCACAAAACTTTGTATTTCTAGTTGTTATTTTTAGTTAGTTCGCAAGCAGCTGGGCCATGATTTTTTCATGATCTCTGGACATTCATTATATGACCTTTGCTCTCTCTTACGAGGACGTTTGTTTTTGTTAAGTATGTAAGATCATGTGACGACAAGTGCCGTAAAAAATAAAGATTAGGAAAAATAGAAAACATAAGATGTACTTCTCAATTGTTGGAGTTTGGGCATAATTAAGATATATTCTTCTTTTCGTGTTCTTAAAGAAGACATAAATGAAAGGGTCAGATTCTGCAGAGTGCTAATGCATCGCCTCTTTCAAGATCATGTCACTTATGTTATTTTTATCATAAAAATAAATCAATTCTGGACAATACGTAAAAGCAGCAGAAATTCCTGCATATTGTGTAGACAAGTGTTGCAGAATCGGGTGATTTCTTCGTTATATTCTACTTAGAGGGTTTTGAAGAACCTTAATTGATCTGCTGCCCCTTTGCAACACTTCGAATCTATATATATATATTATATTTTGGCGACTCCCTAAACACCCCACTCCAATTCATGTGGCCTTGCTGTTGCAATGACGTTTAACCCCATACAAGCATACGCACACTCGGATCGGAAGGTTAAATATAAAAGCAACAAGTGATACGATTCCATACATATTTATTATGATTACCACTGTATGTGTACAAGTTCGTTGGTAAAACAAGGCAACGACGTGCGTTAAGTATATCTATCACATGCATTTGTTTGGACGTTAGATTACTCTTTAACACAGTCGACAATGGCTGTAGCGTCGGTACATTTATGTAGACAAACAGCCTTATTCATATAGCTTGATGTCTTTGTAGTGTTACATGACAGACATTTTCCCTTGAAAGTATAAATATTTTTACGAGACAGACTGTCTTGCCATTTCTATATTACTTTAATAATACATTCACCCTTGTCTAAAAGTCTCCACATTCCTTCTAGACATTAATCTTGTCAGGACGTCCGTATACTTAACTTTATAGACATCTTTGTCAGGACGTCCGTAAACTTTAGAAGACAGACATCTTTGCCAGGACGTCCGTTTACTTTACTAGACAAACATCTTTGTCAGGACGTCTGTATACTTTAATAGACGAGAAATATTTGCCAGGACGTCTGTATACTTCAAAAGACAGACTTATTTGCCAAGGACGTCTGCAAACTTTACTAGACAAATATCTTAGTCAGGACTTATGTATACTTCATTAGACAGACATCTTTGCAAGGACGTCTGTATATTTTTCTAGACAAATATCTTTGCCAAGACGTCTGCATTTTCTTCCAACACAAAAATATTTAGACGTCTATCTAGTTTTCTCAGTCTTAAGGACTATTACGCAGCCATATGTATACAACAATAATTCTTCTTCTATAAACATACACCAAACATCTTACATCGGTCATCTCTCAATCAATTAAAACATAATTCAATTTTTACAAAGCAATAAATCTAAAATTACAGTAGTGTTCTAATGCAATAAGAATCTTTTTGATTATTATTGTTATTTCAGTGTAAGCAATTTATATGAAGAAGTGAACACGTTAAGTATTGTATAACTAAGGACTTGTTTAATGCCAATATCATCAGAAAATGTAAAACAAAAACCAGATGTTATGTGTTGTCAAATACTCCTGTGATATGCTTGCTGCTGTCATACCATTCTACTGCATTTGGCGAGAAAATCACACAGGAAATCGGACTTACAAAAGATTCCAAAACATATGTGGGGAGGGGGGGGGGGGGGGGGGGGGGGGGGGGACAATTTCTAGTTGATGAGAAAAGAACTATTTTTATTGTAGTATGCCTTGAAATCTGGCAGTATTTTTTTAATTTTCATGCTTTCCTCTGAATCTGTTTTGTTTCCCCTTACCATAATTTTACTACAACTACAAAGGCAATGACTTATCACAAACGACCCCTTTATTATCCTACGTAAAGTAGAACCTTGCTTGCTCCGACACGTTCTAAATTAATGATTTTTATTTTTTTATTTTGAAGATCATATTCACAGTGTTCTCTGATAGTTGGGCTACTTTTACCACGTCCCAAATACAGTCAAAACATTCGGTTATTCAATTGTTTAATTCATACATACACAATCTCTCCTTAATTTTGTTTTGAATGTATCTGCAGTTGAGTTTGGCCGATCCATAGCTACAACTTCTATCAGTGGCACATGGGTCTGCACTGAACATCTATAATGGCCTCTTTAAAGTGCTGACATTCTCAAAATGTTACTACCTTGGCAAGTTTGGAAAGACTAGACCTGCTGTACCAACTGTACATGGTTAGAGGCGACTAATGTGTAATCCCCCTGTAGAATCGGTAGTTTTGTCCTGTGTCTTCTTTTTAGGGAACTGAAGAAACTAAAATGGATCTGCTGTCCCTATGGGAACACTGCACAAAGAAAATGTAGAGAAAGTAGAATATATTGAAGTCCCAGGTGATTTCATGCGAGATTCTTTTGAACCAATAAAGGTCTTTTCAGTGTCCCCAACAAACGGACAGAGAAGAAGCCTCCAATTCTGCAGTAGGCTCCACATACATAAACGGTTATATACCATTATAGGCAACAGTGCCCAATTCTAATGTTCCAGAGAACAGAGTATTAGAGCCAAGTCTAACAAGGTTCATCCTCGATATCCAGGGGTTACGTCATCGTCGATCTCCAGGGGTTACGTCATCCTCGATCTCTAGGGGTTACGTCATCCTCGATATCCAGGGGTTACGTCATCCTCGATCTCCAGGGGTTACATCATCCTCGATCTCCAGGGTTTACCTCACTTTCGCTCTCTGCACCCCTGGAATATGTACATCAAAGGATCGAACAAGTCTTGTCTCATCAACAAGGTAGCGCACACCAAGCCTTCAAATTTGCTATGACACATTCCAGGGGTGTAGAGAGCGAAAGTGAGCGTAACCCCTGGATATCGAGGATGACGTAACCCCTGGATATCGAGGATGATGTAACCCCTGGATATCGAGGATGAACAAGGTTCTACTGCCAAGTCTTACATAAACTACCATGGCATGCAAATAAGATGAGCAACATCTACCTTCCACACATTTAACTGGCAATTATTTTAAAGATGTTTAAAAAATATGTTACAATCAAAGTTGAAATATTTACAAAACATGAATAAAGATATATACAAAAATATGTCTGAGCATGATTTGCGTTTCAGGCCTTATAAACGACCTATGGAATGTGACTTTGTATCTAATATTGCTTCAATTTCATAACAAAACAAAATCTTCTGAATGTTAAATTTCTTCAAAGCACCTTCACAGGAAAACCTCATTCCTAGAAATATATCACAATATCACATAAATGGGATTTTCATAATCCCATGATAAATGACATTAGTACTTATTGGGAAGCGTTGGTTTATTTACCTACAAGCAGATAAAATACATACTATTTAACTAGGCTATTGTAGTAATCTGATCCTGTAATGGGGATTACAACTATCATCCAATTTTAGATGTAAATATTGACTCAGTCATTTGATATATTCCTGGCCTTAGCACTGCAGGTCCTCCCCAGCACCTCAAAACTCAGTGATACCAAACGGTGTAGTATTGCCCTCTGGCCCCAAACCAGACATCTATCTGCAAAAAATGTCTAAGTCTGGTGTCGGGGACAGAGGAAACTTGGGATAACCGCCATATTGACATAAATGTGTTAGGATTTGATTGACTTATTTTGATTAACAATTATGATATTGCTTAAATCAATTCAATATCAATATAGCTGGACCCTCTGTTCAACATTACCTTTCTTTGTAAATTCATTTATAAATGTAAGTTTCATTTGTCCCCAATACAAATACAGCACAGCTGTCATAATTTATCATAAACAAGACTGATTAGGAACCAAACTTCATTCTTAACCTTTGGGGGATGTCAACTAATGAGGAGGATCTACATTAAATGGACAGGTATTATACACTTAAGGATCCCTGTCCCACTGCACTGTGGTTTTTCCTACATAGCGTAATCTCTCCTAAACTTCCGTTTGGATGTAACTGTAGAAATATTGGGCCAGTGCACTTCCAATGACCAGGTAGCTCAATTGGCTAGGATGATAGTATAACAATCTGAAGTCTGCAGTTTGAATCTCAGGCTAGCCCCACTGAAACTTTACACTCGAAACACTACTGATGATTATGTTGTATTTAATTCATCCTTATTATTTCTCATAAATGTCCTTTAAGGTACGGTTTTCTCTTCAGAAAAAGTTTTTATCAAAGCTACAGTCATATCAGAAAGAACAGTTTCCAACCTTTAGCTACTATTTTGTGTCAGTGGTACGGGTATCCTTAAGCTTCGACTGTTCAGGAAGCAGGATAGGATGCATTTATAAAGCAAATCAACATAATAATATCAATATATTGCACTACATTTAACTGGCTTAGAAGTAAAGGAATCATAACTTTATAAAGCATATCACTCCAGTTATGAAGTAGAAAAAGATATGGTACTATAAAGTCAAAATGACCATATTAAATTAATTCAGCATGAACAAAACTGACTGATTTCATACTGGATTGATATACAGCTCATTTGATCGACTCTAAAGGTAGGAAGTGTTCAGCTGGGATTCCTAAAACGTTTTTTGTAAAGTAAAATATTTATACGTGAGTAGCTTGTAAAATACTTATCACAGTTATAACACTGAGACATCTGATTTTTTCATTAAAACAATAAAGACATTAAAAAAACATGTTATTATAATCATATGATTTTGTCATTATGTTTACTATGACAAACAATATTATTGAAACAACAATAAAATAGCAGCTCATTAAACACTTAATGGATCGTATATAACATGAATGTCGTTTGTATGGACTTCGCGTTTACACCAAACCAGCGTAATTAATGATTATAGTGTTATAAACCTCGAGGGAAATAAGAAATCTACATACTGTGTATATATGTATTTTCAATTTTTCTCTTATGCTAGAGTAAGCAAAAACAATTAAGTAACAATAAAGCAGTATTATAAAAAATGTTTCTGAATTGAAACTAAATACAATGTACAAGTCATTATTATAACTGTATTAAAATTAATAGGATATTTCTACTAAATATTCTCCCAGGCTAAATTCCCCTCAATATTACAAAATTGTTCTTTTCTTAACTCTTATGTCTGTCATTTGAATGAACAAAGCCAATTTCGATCTAGTGTGTAACTTTATAATGAAAACAACTTAAACTAAATAGGCTAATAAGACTCGGCAAATGATAACAATTGGGTTTTTTAACACTGAGACACCAAAAGTTATGGAAGGACTTCAAAACTCCTTGTATTGTTTAAACACGGTCCTAAATACAAAAAAATTTCATACTTTGTTCACATCAGCCTATTCAAAAAGTATAAACAGAATACATAGGAGATAGAACCTATGTTAACAGGTGTCTATCATTGATCAATTTCTAAAAAGGAATCAAGAACATTAATTGCGTCAACTTGTGTGACAATTAACTTTCTACTATATAAACCTACCATCAACACTGGGTAAATCCTTCTACCATTGCCCACACAGTTAACTTTCAACTATATAGACCTACCATCAACACTAGGTAAATCCTTTTACCATTGCCCACACAGTTAACTTTCTACTATATAGACCTACCATCAACACTATGTAAATCCTTCTACGATTGCCCACACAGTTAGCTTTCTACTATATAGACCTACCATCAACACTGGGTAAATCCTTCTACCATTGCCCACAGAGTTAACTTTCAACTATATAGACCTACCATCAACACTGGGTAAATCCTTTTACCATTGCCCACACAGTTAACTTTCTACTATATAGACCTACCATCAACACTGGGTAAATCCTTCCACCATTGTCCACAGAGTTAACTTTCAACTATATAGACCTACCATCAACACTGGGTAAATTCTTCTACCATTGCCCACACAGTTAACTTTCTACTATATAAACCTACCATCAACACTGGGTAAATCCTTCTACCATTGCTCACAATGAGTTCTACAAAGTTAATTTGAATTAATTAATGAGCCAACACAATAATCAACATCATGTAAATAAAAATACGAAAACTAAAATTAACGCTAAAATGCCATTATAAAACTAAATATTCTGCTAAACCTCACGCTCATACATACACAATTATCAAACAACAGTTTTAGAACTTCAGCTGGAAAACAGATAATTGTTATATCTCAAAAAATTATTTAAAATGCAATGTTCCTGGTAATTTGTTCTAAATCTTTTTCTCAGACTAAATTTACATATCCGTGTTTATATTGTTGAAAAATCAAGAATTTCAATATGTACTTTTTCTGACAATTAGTCATTGTATAATTTTTATATACTGATTCCAATAATTAGACTTGTTAATTAAAACATGTATATGAACACCTCTTCAAATCAACAGAGATGTTTGATTAAGTATTGGATTTGTTTTCTATTCCCTCTTGCAGCATTAGTATTGCATGTCCATAAATCCACACAATATAATACATTTAAAAGGCATACAACACAACAGGCACAACACACCCTTATGTTGGTGCATTGTATCTACTCTCCTTCATTGCATTTTCATTTCATAGAAATTTCATGCAATAATTTAATTCCATCTTCAGGAAAGAAACCCTTTCAAAATACCACTTTATAAAAGTAGTACCTGTAAATTAATTGTTCATGTGAAACCTTACACATTCAAAACATGATTCATCATGGCAGTCATATTTCTGTATACCTCAACTGGGTAGCTTTACACATTGAATGTATATATAATAGTCCTAACAATTGTATAATATCAAACATACAGTAAATATCAATGTAACATTTAAGATTTCAAATCATATCCAGCAAAACAATTGTACAATATCAAATACACAATATACATATATAACATAAAATTTAGATTTTAAAATCAGTCTCTTGCATATAAGCGAAGACAGTTATTATTGCCTTTAACTTATTTTTTAAATTTGTTTCTGCACGTTAAGCAGATTGAGCACTCTAAGTAATGACATTTCTTAATTAGCACACGTCAATCACAATTATAGCAATGATAAATTCGTAGCTATTTTCTTGACCAACAATAAGTCTGAGTTATCTCCCTTAATTAACATACAAAGCATGATACAGTCTGCATTACCTCCCCTACATCATTCCCGGGGACTTGAAATCCAGCTTTTATAGCTTCCTTGGTTTTTTAGTACAAAATAAAAGTAATAAATTTCCCATTTCTAAGCAGAACTACAGGACAGTCCTCATGTATAATGGAGACTACAGCAGAATAATGGACTATCATTTCTCTATCACTAAACAAAAACTTAAATTGGACTAGCTAGTTTAATAGTTCAAAAGCACATGTTGAACATTGTTTATGGGACTATTCAAATAATATTAGAACAACGGCAATAAGTGACTCCCTCAGAATAAAACGTTAAAGTCTGTTTACATGTGATTTACCACTTTAATAGACAAGGTAAGTTACTAAAGTGTCAACAGTAAAACACTTAATACAGATATCTAAACGTATCTTCTATGATACTATAACTCAATCTGTACATCTATCAATAAATGTAACGACTGTCTAAATGTGACCAGACTAGCTGCACTTCAGCAATCTGCATAACATTCCTGTTACAATGATGTGGATTGCTTATAAGACGTCTACAATCTGTCTTTGCTGCTGTCAGATTACTAACTTCTAATGGCAGAATGATGAATCTTAGTATTGCTGTTGTCAGATTTCCATGGTAGAAAGTATGTCAAAAACTCCTAACATTATGCAATATGATTTTAACCAGAGGAACCAATAATCTTTATGAGAATCTCCAACAACTGAGGCATGATGCAGAAAGACTCCCCTATATCACAGCACATACTTCAAGCAGTAGCATAGCCTTAGATTGGACTGGATTGGTCCCCCTCCACTTCGTTACTGTCCACATCGACAGTGAACTCCACAGCTTTTCCAGGTGGCCCTGTGCGACCGAGACATTTCTGGATCAAAGGAATAGAATACAGCATGAAGCCACTGACAGCCACAACTGTACCGCACAGCTGGAATGAAATGTCGTAACTTCCTGTAGCGTCATACAGCCAGCCTGAAACAGATCAGGATCCATTGTCAGCAATGTAGTTTAAATCAATATAATTTGTGAAGTGCTTTAAGACGACCTACAAACTAGGTTATGATGAAGGGGTATAAAAGTCCCTCAAATTATTATTATTATTATATCAGTAATACATGTACCCACACTCTGTAAATCAGCGGAATGGAACAGCAAACTGCTATTTTTCATACTTGGAAAAGACTTTCTTGGTAAAGTGTACATATGAATCTAAACAAGTGGCAGAAAGACACCTATCGGCTTCATTTATTGTGGCAGAAAGACACCTATCGGCTTCATCTATTGTGGCAGAAAGACACCTATTGGCTTCATTTATTAACTGTTTTTGATGTACAAATTGTAAATATATATATATTCATTCCTATAATTTCTGAAATCTGTGCAGTTGTTTACTAGGGAAAGGGTTAACTGATCATTGTGTACCCTACTAGTAAAGGAAAATAAAAACAATTTCACTCCTGTTAATCCAGTGTTGTAATGCCAGGCTGTTGGGTTATCCACTGCTGAATCACAGGATTAAATGTCTTTTATTAAATAATGAATACACCAATTCTGCTAATTAATCAGTACTAGCAATACCTCTGATCCTTGTCTTCCATTTTTTTCCTATTTTTTTTCCTTTTCTAGAACTGAGACTTGCTGCTTCCAATTTCTTATGACACACTGCCTGTGCAGCTTGTGGAAGGAAGAAAGTAGCTATATTCCACTGCATGATCATATGAGGTGATTAATGTAGGACCCTACGGACTGTGTAATTTGCTTGGGGGACAAAGGCGAGATCGACCAAAATTTATCCGACACATCATTACAACTATTGACTCCTCTTTTTGTCTCTCTAGGAACCTCTGGTTAGCCTGTTATTAGAATAATGTGTCATGCTACTGTGTCCATGTTATGATCTTTCAGTGTGATGACACTTTTAAACAATAGCTCTAGTGTCATGTGAACACCATCATCATGCGACCTTAGTATCAAAAGGAAGTGAAACTCTTCACAAACGAACGGACTCTTCGTCACACACACTGATCGTTAACAGGGAGGAGTTGCCTACCAGCAATAGGTGGACCGATGAGCGTGGCTACTCCCTGGAACATGAGCAGTAGTCCAAAGGCACTGGTCAGCTTGTCCAGTCCTAGTAGGTCTACCAACACCACTGAGGTCAGTCCGACATAGACACCTACAAATAATACATTATTATGTTTTAATATTATGTTTTAAAAGTGGGATACAAATGTACAATGGTCAATTAAACACATGTTCTTTGAATAGTCAATATTTACTATTTTATCATTAGGTTTTAATTGGAATGACTGCTATACACTGTATATATAGGTACTACATGTACCATTGGATGAACAAATATATTATGTTTTACACTAAAAAAACAGGAAATCATGGAAATCTTAAGAAAAATAATAGTGAGATGTTATTTTGACCTTATATTTATATATTGACTTGTGAACTTTCTAGCGCTATGATTTGTCACATTTATGTTATCTGTTAACCTAAATTACACCTGTGTATATAAACGACAAATTGTACACAGCACCTTACTTTACATAAAGGTCAGTGTTATCTCCAGGCAGAAATCTAGTAACGACCTTCTATTACTGAGATAACACATAATCAGTCAATAGTGCTATCCTCATGACCCCTATAATCTGGGAAGATCATCCTAACCTTCGATTTCTACTAAATCAAGGAAACCCAAATATACATATAACAGAGGTTATCACATTCCTGAAAGGATGATCATCATGTTGACACAGTTTAAATTTCAGTTATGGTTTTTCTCCGCTATAACCATGCTAATGCACGGTCTTATGTTTTCGTATGTTCTGACTTTACTATGCAGCTCTATGTGCCTCCCTCTCTCTAAATTAAAGCTCCTTTAATTTCAATACGAAATAAAAATTTCAATATGCACACACATTAATTCAAGTGGAGAATAGAGAAGTTGACTAATTTTCAAATTGATGACTTGATGAGCAAAAGATTCAAGATACAATGGTGCTTCGCACATAGCCTACAGGTCATTGTATCCTATACTGTTAGGCCTAGGCTGTATAGTAAACAATGGTGCTTAGCACATATAGCCGACAGGTCACTGTATCCTATACTGTCAGGCCTAGGCTGTATAGTAAACAATGGTGCGTAGCACATATAGCCTACAGGTCACTGTATCCTATAGGGTCAGGCCTAGGCTGTATAGTAAACAATGGTGCGTAGCACATATAGCCTACAGGTCACTGTATCCTATACTATCAGGCCTAGGCTGTATAGTAAACAATGGTGCTTAGCACATATAGACTACAGGTCACTATCCTATACTGTCAGGCCTAGGCTGTATAGTAAACAATGGTGCGTAGCACATATAGCCTACAGGTCACTGTATCCTATAGGGTCAGGCCTAGGCTGTATAGTAAACAATGGTGCCTAGCACATATAGCCTACAGGTCACTGTATCCTATACTATCAGGCCTAGGCTGTATAGTAAACAATGGTGCTTAGCACATATAGACTACAGGTCACTATCCTATACTGTCAGGCCTAGGATGTATAGTAAACAATGGTGCTTAGCACATATAGCCGACAGGTCACTGTATCCTATACTGTCAGGCCTAGGCTGTATATTAAACAATGGTGCTTAGCACATATAGCCTACAGGGCACTGGATCCTATACTGTCAGGCCTAGGCTGTACATTAAATAATGGTGCTTAGCACATAGCCTACAGGTCACTGTATACTATACTGTCAGGCCTAGGATGTATAGTAAACAATGGTGCTTAGCACATATAGACTACAGGTCACTATCCTATACTGTCAGGCCTAGGCTGTATAGTAAAAAATGGTGCTTAGCACATAGCCTACAGGTCACTGTATTCTATACTGTCAGGCCTAGGCTGTATAGTAAACAATGGTGCCTAGCACATATAGCCTACAGGTCACTGTATCCTATAGGGTCAGGCCTAGGCTGTATAGTAAACAATGGTGCTTAGCACATATAGTCTACAGGTCACTGTATCCTATACTGTCAGGCCTAGGCTGGATAGTAAACAATGGTGCTTAGCACATATAGCCTACAGGTCACTATCCTATACTGTCAGGCCTAGGCTGTATAGTAGACAATGGTGCTTAGCACATATAGCCTACAGGTCACTGTATCCTATACTATCAGGCCTAGGCTGTATAGTAAACAATGGGGCTTAGCACAAAGCCTACAGGTCACTGTATCCTATACTGTCAGGCCTAGGGTGTATAGTAAACAATGGTGCTTAGCACATATAGCCGACAGGTCACTGTATCCTATACTGTCAGGCCTAGGCTGTATATTAAACATTGGGTGACAAAAGTCAACAGCCTCTCAGACTTAGTACTGCATATCCTTACAGTTCATGAGTCACCGGTCATAAAACACAATAACACGTATTTGTTCAATTGATGAAATATGGGATTGGGTTTATACATTTTAGGCATTAATACTTCACTTTTGGTTTAATTTACAGCCAGTCTGCAATCTCAGGTCAATAAAAGTCTCTCTCTACCCAGAAGTATCTACTGGTAATCCCCACCGTACCCCTATTCAGAAATACATTGTGCAGGCCTGAGATAACTGAAACAATGATGTTGTAAATCTACAAGGACTGTAACACTTGAATGTTTTCTCAATGTTCAGGTCTTTCGATCATACTGAAGTAGTAATCAGGGACCAATCAAACTGTTGCGTGAAATTCAAATTAAGACAGAAATTAATAAATGGTTCTGACTGATAGTGATATCTGCATTTTGTATCACCAGACGGATCCAATTACTGTAGAAAACACAACTTTGTTCTCACTAAAAACATGGTTGTTCTGTCAATGGTAAAAGAGTTTAAAATGTATAATAAACTGAAAGATGAGCATTCATTGTTGTTGAAAGTGTATTAATATATTTAGCATCAAATTGCATCTTTTGAACATTTGAGATGGTATGAAGTTTCATTTAAACAAATTCCTCGGCGTGTGGTCATAGTGTTGGACAACACTTTGAATTTAGTCGCTCAACAATAACAAACAGAAACTGTGACCAACTTAACCCCTCTTTGGTCTGTCCTCGATCACCCCACGGTTTTTGCTATTCCATTTAATTTTAAAATCCCACTACCTAAGAATGCTTCCACTCAAATTTGGTGAAATTCTGTTGAAAGGTTCAGAAGGAGAAGTTGTTCAAGTATTTGTTTATGGAAGGACAGATGAAAGATGGAACTCTATAGCTTAACACTTGCACCACTGTAGACCATAATGGACTCATCCAGATCAATGTATCGCAGAGTCTACTAAAGTTACCCAGGGGTGAAAGGGATAAGCTCACTTTCATTTGTTGAATTATGTGAGCTAAAAAGGATTTCTATTTATACTTGCAGCCCAAGAAAAACAAATAAAAAGTATATATGTAATTAGCTTTCTGGAATGTTTTGCAAAGAAACACACTTGTCAACTCTCCCTATTTAGGAGGGACACTCCCGATTTTGGACCCTAAAATTGAGCATTTTCAACCAGTTGATTTGCTAAGTATTCCTATTTTCTAAGATCTGATGATTTCACCTGAAAGAACAGCTCCAACGATGCCATTTAAAAGTGTTATTTTCCCCCTAGGGTGTAGATACACATATTTTATTTTTGCATTGAATTCTGAGCAAGTGTAACCTCGCCAATGGAAAATTCGAAAAGTTGGCAAGTATGAAGAAATTACATTTTGAAAACTTGATATTATAACTCTTTCAAGCTAATCTGGATGTGAAATGATACTTAACCCTTTCACCACTGTAGACCATAATGAACACATCCAGATCAATGTATGGTAGTCTACTAAAGTTACATAGGGTTGAAAGGGGGAAATTGTATACAAGGCCCTCTCGAGAAAGCAAGGAAAATTACCTATGAAGGCTCCGAAGACTGCTGCGTAAACCAGTAGGTATTCAAAACTGTTACTTAGAGGAGAAAGGGCGGTGGCGATCCCACAGATTGTTAGGGCTGTGCTATACAGCATCAGACGATTCACCCACTTCTGGTCAGCCATCCAGCCAAACACCACCCGACCAATTGTGTTAGCGATCCCGATCACAGACACCAGTAACGCTGCATCTGTCTTTGAGATGCCTGCCTCTAATGCCCTGTCAGGCAGGTAAATATACGGCATGTTGAAGCCGATACTTGTAAAAAAGTTTGACACAACAAACAAGAGAAAAATTGGATCCTTCAGAAGAGAGAAATCAAGCATCTGTCTCACTGCATCTCGTACTTCTGGGGAGAGATTTAAACACCGGAAAATAAACCAATCATCTTCATTTGAAACTTGCTCTGGAATGGATAGAACACTAGTCACATAGAGATCCGGGTTGGATTTATACTGAGGAATGTTTATCAAACTCCCACTGTAGAAAATGTCTTTGCGAGCGAGTGGAGACAGATGGCTGGTGGACGACATGGTGGAATGTTGGCGTCTAAATGTTCCTGAGCGGAGGACCACAGGGGCAACGTTACTTGTGGGAGAACTTGGCGGAGATGATGAATATCCATTCATTTTATGTAGTGCACCATCACTTCGTACCATTTGAGCTATACCATTCTGCTCAACTTTTATTCGGGTGAGAATTTTATTGGCATCGAAAGCCACCAAAGATGAGGGAGAGCTTGGCTCTGTTGTGATGCTTACAGAGGGGATACGCAGAGAACTTCGTTTACCATCCCCATTCTCCCTCATAAGTGCCTCTTTTTCACTTTTCCCATTTGCTTCAACATCATATTTCTTTTTTGATTTTTTTGTAGGTAACAATGGTCGGAATAAAACTCCAAAAATGACACAGTTGAGAATAATTCCAGCTTCAATGAGAGTGGCCCCACGCCAAGTATATTCATCCAACAAAACTTTGGAAAGAGGAGCGAAAATGAATGTGCCCACTCCTGAACCACATACAGCTATTCCGGTAGCAAAGGAACGTTTCTTCTCAAAGTAGTGTCCCACACTGACGATGGCAGGGAGGTACATGAGTCCGAATCCCAGACCTGAAAATAGACACACATCTTCACTTAATTCAGCAATCATGACGTTAATTTTTTTTACTGGATCAACATTGCTCCATGAATAAATGACAACTTGGCTTGCCATGATTATATGTAGTTTCAATTTGATAACTGGTCCCATTGACATAGGTTGCCATTTTTGATCAAATCCTCTCAGACACCCTCGGTTATCGATAGGCTCCGAGTGATATATCTTATATATTATATGAGATATCTTATATAATATATAAGATATCTTATATCTTTTATGAGATATCTTATATAATATATAGGATATCTTATTTAATATATAAGATATCTTATAAAGTATATAAAACATCTTATATAATTTGGTTAAGTACTGGATCAACATTGCTCCATCAATAAATGACAACTTGGCTTGCCATAGTGCGTAGGACATTATTCCACATCTGATAATATACATATAATATAATGTACATCAAAGTGACTTACAGACCCATTTTTGTCCAGTGCTAGAATTTTTAAAAAAATAGTGAAACATCTTGAAAAGTATGAAATGTTGATGTATACTATATGCCATAATACTATAATCAAGTTTACTGTATTTTATTCTTCAATGTCCTCTATTGGGGTGATAGAAATTTGTGTATATCTCCTACTACTTTGCTCATTAACCAGATAAGATGTCGCCATGCTTACCAGACATTATACCAAATGAGAAATAGAGGTAGTAGATGTTCGGGGCGAAGAGACTGAGGATGAAGCCGAGCGAGGCTATCAAGGCACCAGCTATTGTCACCACACGGCAACCATAACGATTTGTAAGGGCACTTGCAATGGGTCCTGAAACAAACAATAATAATAATATAATAATATACAACATTTATATAGCGCCCTATATAATTTGTAAAATTACTCTCAAGCGCTGTAAGGGCACTTGCAATGGGTCCTGAAACAAACAATAATAATAATATAATAATATACAACATTTATATAGCGCCCTATATAATTTGTAAAATTACTCTCAAGCGCTTTAAGGGCACTTGCAATGGGTCCTGAAACAAACAATAATAATAATATAATAATATACAACATTTATATAGCGCCCTATATAATTTGTAAAATTACTCTCAAGCGCTTTAAGGGCACTTGCAATGGGTCCTGAAACAAACAATAATAATAATATAATAATATACAACATTTATATAGCGCCCTATATAATTTGTAAAATTACTCTAAAGCGCTTTAATGGCACTTGCAATGGGTCCTGAAATTTGTAAAATTTGAAATTTGAAATTTGAAATTTGTAAAATTACTCTAAAGCCACTGTCTCAATTAACATCTGTTAAGTGAATGTACAATTATAATATAATGTAAAGTGAATGTAAACAATTATATATCTGCCTCCTACTTCATATCAATTGTAGGTTCTTCACCACATAACTTTGCATTCCTTTAAACAATTGATACCTTTGTAACCAATTTTCAACATTTTACCCATTTTTAATTGAACAAATTATTACTGTTTGCACTATGCATTCTAATTTTATTTATTTTTTATTTTTTTCTTAATGCAGTCTTTTTTCCTGGATAAGTTACAAAATACTAGACAAACCGACAAATTGATACATTGAGTTAGCTTGGCAGTGAATAAGTACTTAGTACACAAAGTCATTCTAAAGAATTTAAGCAATCCCCACCCCAAACCTGTTCCCTGAAGCCATAATTTTATTCAGCTAAGGGTAAAATGGACCTATAATGTTGATTTGGGAAGAACAGTGTACCCCAGTATAGTCAGTACTTCAGGAAAATAATGAGACCAAAGTGTTTTAGCAGAAGGCACTAACAGATAAACATTTACACATACAGTGTAACCTAACATACATTTGTAAGGGAGACTATCAAAAATGTTCTTCGATATAAACCCACAGACAGTGTGAACTCCAGACAAGAAGGTCACAACCTGACATCTACAGTAATTACCCACCAGGATGGTAAAATAATGACAAAAGGAGGACAATCCAATATGTCCTCCACTATCAACCCACAGCATGCAACCCTTGGAACAAAAAGACAATGTTCTTAACCCTAGAGTCCTAAACAACTTGCCCATAGAGAAGGTTACCCATTAGCGTGAGTTAACATTGAAAGTCCTTTAAAGAATGTAACCTGGTAGCATTAGGCAGACAAACTACCAGGTCCTACAATATTCATTTACAGAGAGCCACGGTCACCTTGGGAACAAGGGAGACAACCCACAAAATATCTGTACCGCAAAAAAGCGTACTTACCTACGGTGAGCGTTACTCCAGGCACGAGAGAGCCTACCCAGGACGTCTCTCCTTTGCCTCCTTTGAAATAATCCAGAAAGTCAATATAGAATACTCCAAAGGAATAAACAATTCCATCAGCGATGACGTGGAGCGCAAATGAGCCAAGTACGACCATCCACCCCCATCCACCGTCCGGGGGCACTGCCACATCCAACTCCTCTTCTTCATGATTATCAGGATGCTTTCCTTTTCCCATGATTTCACTAAGGTTTTACAGGTAACAGCTTACCAGTGATGACCTAGTTATCTAGCACTCTGACTATAATATAGCACTATCAGTTTCGCTGCGACTGTATCAAGCTCAACAATACATCAGTGTTACGCCTCTGTTAAAAAGCACTGCTATTCTTCAAGGTGTAGAACATTTCCTTTTAAGCATGTAAAGTCTATAAAAATGTCACAATTTGTTAAAATAATCAAATGCAATTTAAAATGCAACTTCTTCTCGGAGATATCAATTTGATTATGAAAATATTGCAAAGGTGGTTTTCATCAATGTCTTCTGTTAAGAATATTTCATTTTAAATGTTGAATTGTAAATGCTATTCTGATTAATAAAACAGTTTAAAAATGAATTAAAATCAGTAGTTTTGTCCACCGGTCTGTATTGGTACATTAATTGTGAGCACGTCCTCGGTCACTCTGGGGAGAAATGATTTGTCTGATACAGTCAATAACTCAACAACACAACAATAACAAGAACGGCAGCAGTTAAACCCTATTAGCCTGGCCACACTGAGTATTTAACCAAGTTTACATAATCGTTGGCCCTTGGGGACCAAGAAAATCCTGAGAGATTACCCGCCAGCAAGTCGGAAGTAATCACCTGCGGTCCTTCCAACAGCAGACGACTGGTGAGTTGGAATCCTTGGAGACCTGAGAGTTGTCATGAGTCTGCAGAAGATATCAAAGGAACTCTTCATAGAGGAAATAAAACTCTCATCTATTTCACAGAGAACCAAATTTAACTTGTGACAATCTCTTCTGTCCAATTTTCAAAGGTGAGGATGTCTCTATGGAAGTTCAATGTTGAACAGACATCAAGGACAGATGTGGCTTAGTCTGAAACAAACAATAAACCTTATTATTGATTGATTGTAGCACATGAGTAATTATCAACACCAATGATCAATATATATATACCTGACTTAAACACCACCTGTCTATATCTTACCATCGCTAGCCAATCATAGTTCACAATTTCATGAACGTTCAAGAACAGTTCATGAACTGAAAGTATAATATGTCATGAAAATAATTCATGAACATTAAGTTCATGAACTGTTCATGAAAGTTTAGCAGGGGATTTTAAAATATTTAGAATATTGTGATTTCTATATTACAGGGCATCACCATACAAACAAGGCACAAGGATGCACAAAGTGTTCTCATACATGACCACTCTATGAAGTTTGATTAAAGTCCATTACGAAATTAAGTCACTTGTGAGATCACAAGAAAAAATAAAACTTTGACATTTGACTTTGAAGTTTATGCAATAAGATTTATCCTCTTGTTAAAACCAATCATTGTATGATAAGTGAGACTGGATAAATAGGCTTATGAACTAGCATGTCCATATAATTGAAATCCACACGCACAGATGAATGAATTGCATTGCTATATCACCCTACAATACTCCCCTTTATAAAGACCACCTGTCTATAAAAACCTTCCCACTATAAGGACCACCTGTCTATAACCCCTCCCTCTCTATAAAGACCACCTGGCTATAAAAACCTTTCCACTATAAAGACCCCCTGTCTATAAAAACCTTTCCACTATAAAGACCACCTGTCTATAACCCCTCCCTCTCTATAAAGACCACCGTTCTATAAAAACTTCCCCTAGTCTAAAAGGACCACCTGTATATAAAGACCTTCCCACTATTAAGATCCCCTGTCAATAAAAAAATCCCCTCTATAAAGACCACCTGTCTATAAAATCCTCCCCTCTAAAAGGACCACCTGTCTATAAAAACCTCCCCTCTATCAAGACCACTTGTCTATAACGACTGCAATACTGTTACGAAGGGATAATTACCTGTCTTTAAAACATCCCCTCTATAAAGACCACCTGTCTATAACGACTGTTTTTGCTCGCTTCACTGGAAAGTTATTGACTGGTTTTACTTTTATTACTTTACTAAACCAATCAAAGACATGAATTTTGGTTAATGTGGACTGGCACTGAACACTTTGCCTGTGCTCCACATTTGTTATTCCTTTATTATATTTATATGTTCTATATTTATCCGAGATGACAATAAATGTGTATTTCATCTTTTACAACAGCTTTTGATGTTTATAATATCATGTAGTTGATCCAACAGACATCTTTCCAGACCATCGCTATATGAATTGTTAAATCTAATGGTTCAGAACAATGTTTGCAGGTGTGGAACTGAGTTTACACTAATATTTACATTGGGATCTGAAATTGAATGTTGATCAGACTCCTGGGGATATATAATGTTTAGTTTAGACACTGAGGTATAGTTAGACTTCAATTTGGGGTGGCTGGATTGATCCCTGGAGGAGACACATATATCCTTTGTATTACTCAGTCCTATAACAAACTGGTGATGTGACCACTAATGTAAAAGCATTGGGTTTGGGTTGAGCGAAATAACCATGCCGGAATGTATGAGTTCAGTCAGATCACTCGCTACTTGCCAGGAGCGTTAAACATTTGAGTTAGGGGGAGATAGTCTGTATATCAGGAAATATTTGCTGCAGTTTAACTTTCCCCTTTTTGGCCTTTACCATTGAGGCAAATTTATCATGAAAGTGACTATCAGTGCACATTGTACTTTATATTGTTATAATAAGTGAAGGGCAAAATTAATATCTGACTGAATGAAACTTTTCCAATATACGGCAACCCGCCTGAGGAGTGTTAAATAGTTTGGGTTTGATTTGAGTGGGAGCTGGTTTGTGAATGTGCAATACATTCAATTATTTACTCTTATATCATACGGGATTTTTTATTTGCATGCCTTCCTATGTCACTTTATAAAATGTTATTGCTGGTGACCAGGTAGCTTGACCAGGTAGCTCGGTTGGTAGAGCATCTGTCTATAGAGTTTAGAGGGTCCATTAAGGTTCAATCCTGGCCTTACACAAGTAACGCTCATTTCCAGTACCGTTTGGACGGAGGGTAAATACATTCTCCGTACTTGTGTATTACTTTTAAGTAAAAGCAATTTTTGTAAATTAGTTTTTCATACGAAGGCTTACATTACTTTCTATTCCCCCTTTATGCAGTAAGTCTGCAGGATCAGGCACTGTGTGCTACTGTATTGATCCTAGGCATGAAGGATCCTGATTTATACTTTTGGCCCAGACTGACCCTATAGAGGGTGGCTAATGTTATGGTGTATGTTTAGGGATTGACTGCTATTCCGCTGTACGCTACCCTAAACCCTGTTGTTGTGTAACAGAAATACCTTATCTCTGTCTATTCGTGTTGTAAGTTGTGCAATTAGCACAGGTAAGAAATGTTGTTTGTGTTGGAATCGTATATATAATGCATGACCTACACAGGTATGTTCAAAAGCCCAGACTGGAAATAAAACAAAAGACAAGCTGCATAAAATATTTATTACGAAGCTGCTGTCGTAAAACCAGAGGAGTAATGTGTACACATAGAACCGCAGATAAGCTGTTATTTATTTATTTCAAGGCCAAAGGTACGAAAGTAAGAAACAAACAGCAGGGGGGTCAGGACTTCCGAACTGAACAGGCATAAAAATACAGGGTATATTTCAGTGATACCATAATACCGTAATTCATAAACTCTATCAATTATCGTAACTGCTGTAATATGATATCACTTTCAAACTAGCATTTATTCCTCTTGAAAAGTTTTACTTAAAAACTGTGGGTGTGTGGAAATATGGCTTCCCTAATACTGTATATGTTTTAACATATATACTGAAACCATGTACCTGGTATTGTAATTTTATCATTACGAATGTGTGAAGAATTGCAAAATCTTCTTATAACAGACACATGTATAGATCTGTGTGGTAGGGAAACAAAATTATTTTGTTTCTTCGATATTAACGATGTTTCCTATAGATCAATCAAGTTTCATGAGAGAATGAAGCCCAAGTAAAACATGGTTGATCAAGGGAAACAATTAATCATGTTTCCCTACTACAAGGGAAATAACTATTATATTCTACTGAAATAGCACACAACTGTCACAATTATCACGACTACTTTGCAGCTATCCAATAGGTGTTGTCCCTGGGTCTTGTTGTGTGTTTAAACCATTGATAATAGTTAACACACAGTAATATAGATGAGCAATAATAACAATGTTCATTCAAACGCATCTTTGCCCACTTCATTTCAATATTTTGGAATTCCCCAGACAGAAAGGGCTAATGAAAAGATTCTTGTAACACAACCAATAAGTGTTTCTATGTGACGTTTCAATGACTAGTATTGTATGTACTCTGTCACCTTTATAATTATCAGACAAATGACCAGTGAAGCGTATGCACACAGAGGTGTAAAATGTGTACGAGTTGTCCATAAAATCGATGTTGATATGGCTACGCTGTAAGCGTATGCACAAACAGTTATTACATATGTGCACTGAAATGACTCGATTCAGCAATGCTTTGTTAAATACTTGGTACTTGGTCAGAAAGGGCCTACCTATCTGAGTGGTTAACACTCTGTAGGCTTCCATGCTTTTGAGTATAATCCTTGAAGTTCACACAGTCCTTGCAAAGATTTCAGTAAAAAAGAGTTTTTATCACATAATGTTCTGTGTCATCCAGTGAATAATTATACCCATGTCACATTTGTTTGCGTATTAACCCATGTGATATGACATATCAGCCCTGTGATTGATTGTAAGTTTCAATTGTGACGTCATGCCTATGAGTCAAAATGGCGGCTTTTTACATTTCAAGGTTGCATGAAAATTGTCATTTAACATGAAACTCGTCACAAATTTTTCATTTTAGCTTGCCAGAGGCTCGCTAAATTCAAAAATTCTTAAAATCATTTCATAAATCTCATATGAAATGGAAACTCATGTAAGATCCTTTATTTCTACACAAGGTGTCATAAATTGGTCTTAAGTGAGGTGAAATATTGTAAAAAAAAATGCAAATGAAGATAATATTATTTCCGCTATGAATCTGAACACTATTATTCCTCCAATACACACACGCCGATAGACCTACACACGTTGAGGTATATTAAGCAGCAGGTTACAGGACAAGTAATTAGTGCCTGATAAATCCTGAAACTGTATTGATTGTAGGACATGTATGTCTATGTTAAGTAAAGCACTTCAAAGTGGCTAATCATTCTAGCTAGATGGGGTGCTATATCAAATATTGGAAACTGTATAGTAATATTGTAACATATGTGAAATTCTGAATAGTTCAATTTCCTTATCTAGCAGGTTACCCATATTGATGGGCGTTTGCAGCATTTGTTATCAGAAACAACCAATCATTAAACAAAACACTATGTCCATTATATATATATATATAGTAACATTGAGAAGGGAGGCTCTAAAATCAGATTACAGTATGGAATCAAAGCTACATTACGTAACAGGAGTAAAGGATACCTCCACTGGGGATAGAACCACTGCTGACTTTGTACTCGCAGGTTTTACCATTAAACTAAAGGGAAACTCCCTCTGGTGGAAGCTTTAATAAGCCTTTAATGTACACTGGGCATCTTTTACAAACATGCTGTTATTCATTAAACCAGATATTGTATTACAAAACTCAAAATATATTTGTAAACCATATCTCATTGAAGGATTTATAACCCTTTCACCACTGTAGACCATAATGGACTCATCCATATCAATGCATGGTAGAGTCTACTAAAGTTACATAGGGGTGAAAGGGTTAAATGCTATTTTTGTACAGCCTGATGAGGGGAAGTGAACATAATGTGTAAATTAAGTGGAACTTCAGTAAAAGACGACTGAGGTTTCTTGTCCCTTAATTCATCAGGCTATGCATGCCAAGTAACAAAACACACTTCCCATTTTTATCGTTCTGAAAGAATTGCGTCACT